GTGCACAAGTAGGACCCTTGTGCCCCATGCCCTCTCCCATTGTCCCCCTCCTGCTGTCTCCCAGAGCAGAGTGTCACCTGCAGTGCACAAGGGTTGGTCCTGCATCCTTGGTGCTCTGGATTTGCTCCCGGACCAGCTCTCTGAAGGTCATAATAGAAGTTGTGGACTCCGGGATCCCGTGGTCAGGCCATGCTGTGTAGTGCAGGTGGGACACGTGACGCTCTGCCTGGAGACCCTCCTGCCAGGGGGAATGTGGGTGACTGGTGTGCAGGCTGCCAGGACAGAGGAATGCTTGCACCCCACAGCCCTGGGAGCACCCGAGGCCTTGGGGACACCCAGCTCTGAGTCCTCTTGGGTTCTTACTCACGTGCCACAGTTTGAACTCGCGCATGGTCCACTCCTCGGAGCTGCTCTGCATCAGCAGGTGGACCTGGACCTGCCCATAGGAGACTGGGGCAGATTCAGATGGCCAGTAATGATCACAGAGGACCTAAAGCACAGGCAGGACGAGGTCCCTCAGGCCCAGGTCCCGCTGGGTGACCTGTCGGCTCCCCAGGAGCATCTGAAGAGCAGCAGATGTGTGGGGAGCCAGTGCAGGTCTTGCGGAGCAGGTAGCAGTGCTTCCCCTTCCCACCAGGAGCTTTGCACAGCTCTCCCCCACCTCCCCTTTGGGTCTCAGCCTCCTCCACAGAAAAGGACCGGTGTGGGTCTCATCACCCCTGGAGACCGGAGAAACACTCCATGTGAGGTGTCTCATCCAGAGGCAAGTGGTAATTTCAGACACTGCAGACATATCTGAGGGTGATGAGCATAGTTCCAGCTATGCTCCACTGCTGCCCCTTCCTACCCCAAGCTGACACTGAGCTGCACACATCAGCCTCTGTTTCCCCCACACCAGCTGTCAGGGAAGCTGTGTGGCCCGTGCTCACCCTGGAGCCACATCTGAGCAGGGGTTAGCAGAGGACACAAACCCAGGGCTCAGCTCACACGATCCGACCTGGGCTTGGCTAGGCCTGGCACGTGGAAGCCCGGTGGTGCCGACCTACCCGCCCATTCTCCATGCACACTGTCAGCATGATGATGTTGCAGACATTCTGCTCCCACACTAGCCTCCAGAAGTCATCTATTGTTTTCTTCAGGGGCCCCTGGGTGGCAATGAACTCCTGCTGGGACGTATAGCCCTGAGCAAGAGGCAGACAGGAGGAGTCAGCAAGTTGCTGAGGCAGGTGGATCCTGCCCTGGGACAGAGTCAGTGCCTGGTCTGCTTTTGCAGTAGAGGGAGAAATGCCCGTTGCCCTTACCATGCGGGCACAGTTCCCAGGCAGCTGATCTCAAAGGCAGCTGATTTCACAGGGAGCATGTGCTGCCCAGCACGTGCTCTCTACATATTTGGAATAAAGATGTCACCCTCGCTGTTCCCCTCTAAGCAATTCCTTTTTCAGCCTAACCAGGGAAAGACAGATCTGCGTCTTTCTTGAGCTTCCCAGTCACTGCTGAAGGTAGGGTGAGCATGCAAGGTCTCAGGCTGCTGCTTTGCCTTTGTCCCTTTGACACACACATGCCCCGCAGACCCACACACCTGCACATGCATGCTGTGCGCCCTGCCTGTTACCTGGGAAAACTTCCTGGATGGGGGACGTGGGCACAGCTTCAGGGTTGTTCAAGTGCAGCTGCACAGATCAGAAGGAGAAAGAGCAGGCAGACAGACAGGGCAGTAAGCTGGAAGATGATGGAAAGAGGACAGCCCTCAAGAAGAAAACAGAAAGCCTTGCCAGTCTCCCTACACTCACATCTCTGTACTTGCCATCTGATGATCTCCATCAAACCCTGCTAAAGGGCAACTCTGCATCTCCACCTGACCCACCAACTCCTTGCCAGTCTGTGCCAGCTGTGGCTTCAGTGACAGCTCTTGCCCACCAGCCCTCATAACCTCAATCCAGGCAGAGTTTCTCTGATGGTGTCCCATGGCCAGGTCCCTTTGGGGAAGGCAAGTGGGCACTCACAGGCATGAAGTTGGCATTGATGTATTCCGAGTGTGGATCCTCCCCCAGTCGGCTCAGCTTGACTCGAGAGTGATCGTCTGAAAGAGACCACACACGTGACCCACCAAGGCAGCCCTTCACCAAGACATGATCATTGCCTCTTCACCTGGGTAAGCCATCAGGAGAAGCTCCAGCAGCTCCACATATGCAGCCAGCAGTGAGGCTCTGTGCTTGGCCAGGCACCCTCTCTCTGGAGAGGTGAGCATTGCCTGCCAGCTGGGGGTAGGAAAGCAGAGCTGGTATCACAAGGCTCATCAGAGAAGCCATGGGACACTCATGGTCCCCCCTTGGTCTCCAGCTGGGACTCAACCCTGAGCTGGGCTCACCCAGCACCTGCCCAGCAGCCTCCTGGAAGAGCTGAGGAGGATGGTGGCTCAGCCTTGTCTCAACCCTTAAGCCTTGAGTCTCCAGCAGGAAAATGGAAAATGAGGCCAATTTCAAGACTCCTTCTTCTCCCAGGAGAGGAACCAGGCACTGTGAAGCCTGCAGCAATGCAAGGTGAGCTTGTCCCTGTGCACTGCAGTGTGAGCTCCCATCCTGGATGCTGGGGAGACGAGGGAGCAGACGACACTTACAGGGAAGCACGTGGGGATATCTGTTCTTGGAGACATTCGCTGGTAGCTCGGCCTCCACCTTTGGCTGCTCCTTCCCAACTTCCTTCAGCTCCTGTAGGACGAGGGGGAAGAAAAGCACAAATGTCTCTTTGGAGAGCTCCTGGCCATCCCAGCTCCCCGCTCAGAGCCAGCCCCTCTGTCTGGTGCTTAAAGAGGGTCACCCATGGACAGGGAACTGCTCTATTCCTCTGTCTGTATGGCCTGTGAACTCTGAGCCATAGGTGGCTTTTCCCAGTGCCTTTTCCAACAGCATTGTTCGTATTTAAAAGAACACAAGCCCAAGAACAAGAAATCAGAATTCTAACAAGAAATCAGAATTCTACCAAGAAGCTCAGAGCATTTTTGTGCTGAGAAGAGAAACATCTTGTGCTGCAAAACCAGAAATATCTTATGCTGCTTCTGCCTCTGTTCTCACTCAGAAGGCCATAGAAGGGTGATCTGAGGAGAGTTTGAAATCATTGATGGGACTTTCAAAGATGCTGGCAGCAAAACGATTCAGGGCCTGCAGATGTTGGCAGTGGAAGCCAGTGAAGGTAGCCTGAGGTGAATTTTACAGCCTGGCCCTATCGCTCTGAGAATGCTCCTTGACCTTCCTTTTGGCTGCAGGCTCTTTTCTAACACTGTCAAGGTGGATCTCACTGCAACACCATTCAGCATCTTCTCCTCCAGTCCAGGCCTGGGGTCCTTAGCTTTGTCCACCAGCAGCTATGGACAGTGTTAGTTGACCTCACGCCACAGACAACACATATTTCTACCAGAACTTCAACAAAACAGGTTTTGAGCAAAGGAATTTCCTGATCACTTAGTCCATCCCATTTTTGGCCTCCAAGACTGCCTAGTAGAGTGGTTGGATTGCTAGAGAGAAGGGTTACTGTCCCTGGAGATGAGGAATCCATACGGGCCACCCAATAGCTGGGGCATGAGCTACCTACAAGGGAAATTAAGTCCCATCTCTAACAGGAATCTCATCTCACCTCAAACTCCTGGAAAAAAGCGTGGTTAGCACTTGCTGTCTTCATCTCGTAGTACTGCTTGAAGTTCTGTATGGGAATTGGCCGATGCATGTTTCTGCATGAAATGAAGTCCAGGGAAAACTTGCCTTAGCTATTGGGAGGTCTGGTAGGCCAGTTGGGCAGCCAACGAGACAGCCCAGCCTTGAGACCTGCAATACCTGGATGCACACACACAGGGATGGTTTATAGCCCATGTTGTGACCCAGGGAAGTGCGTCCAACAGAGCATTGTTTAAATATTGGGAGGGATTTCAGGATGATGAAGATATTCTCCTACTGCAGAAGCCTTGCAGAGGAGGTGTGGACAATGCATTGACTTGAAATGGAGCTGGGCAATAAATACTGAGCATGGGAAAACCTAAGATTTAAAAAATATCTGAAGGAGACAGAGTTGGATTTTTCCTGAGTCAAAGCATAAGAAAGGAAGTAGGTGAAGGACTCTGGAACCTGCAACGGAGACACGCAGAGAGAGAAGACTCCATCACTCACCTCAAGCTGTAGGTCACCATTTCCTGGGGCAGGCTGCTCTTCTTGGTTCTAGAATCAAAGCGCAGGAGATGTTACTCTTCCCTGCGACCATATTGCATACTGCTGGCTCGTGGAGTGCTTGTGAGCAGCAGGTCACATCAGGCACGCTGCCTTGCACACTTGTAGGGTTCTGTGAATTAATTGCACATGGGCAGCACCCCTCTCCCTTCTGCCTGTTGCTTCTGTGCTTGCCAGGCACAACTCCGCTAGCGGGTGTCCCAGTTTGCCTAAAATTTTTTTTATACCCCCTCGCTGCTCCTCCTCCTGGCCTGGCACTGAAGGTTGGGTCTCTCAGCATGCACCTGCCAAGTAAGAGATGTCTCAGTCTCACCTCTTTGCTCTGAGATGTTTCCAGTAGGCCAAAGCAAAAATAGCTGCAAGCGTCAAGAGAAATCCCACAATGATTCCAGCAATTATTGGCATTGAGAGTGGAGTTGCGTCTGCATCAGATCCAGCAGCTGGAATAAAAAAAGAGATAGAATGGACAGAAGAAAGAGTCAGTAAATGGATGCATTTAGTCTATTTATTACATTTGCTACAGCCTATGATACCCGTCTGGCTTGCCACTGTCAGGTTGTTAATTATGTCTAACCTACACAGCCAGGCAGGGAAGATTACATTCCCCATCTTACCTGAGAACATGGTGAATGTCACCGCAGGGGCTACTGGGTCATATTTGGTGAAGGCAGCGATGCTGAACCTAGGGCAAAGCAGAGTCTTGCCATCAGGGGCAATCTGAACCAAGCACAGCATCCATGCAGCCAGCGGCAGGCAGACCCAAGGGAACTGGACAGCTGCCTCTGTTTTGAAATGCTGTTTTGGAAGAAGCTGGTTTTCTGGCAGAGATTTAGGGAGTGTGTGGAAATGGTCTTTCCTCCCTTTTCTGCCTCTTAGACAAGTTTGTTGCACTTGGGAGAACATAAGAAAACGTTCAGAAAACACAAATGGGAAACAGCTCTTCTCTGACGTGTTATTTGCAAAGATGAGTAGTAAGTTTCTGCTGTCTTACAGGACACAAACAGGGAAAGACAACAGTAAGTAGGAAAAATGGAGTTGTGTTGAGCCACTGTCTTTGTTTATGGCAACCCATTAATTGGGTTGACTTGAAAGAGCTGAGCCCGGGTAACTGTTTGAAACAGTGGCACCTCAGCTGGGAGGGCTGAGCTCCGACCCAGACCCTTACTTATGCCCACAGAAGTGGCTGATGCACTCTCTTCCCTGTGAAGATCTGCCCGACATCGTCCTCCCGGCAGTGTGCGCACCAAGCCTCACAGCTCCCCACAGAGCTGACTTCCTTCGGAGCAGGTAACTTGGAAGGGTAGGTCTTCTTGTGCCCTAAATGCAAGCTAAGGCTTTCAAATGTAGCTTTAGATTTTAGCAGCCAAGAGCTTGTGGAGTCTAGTCTGAGTCCTCTCTGGCAGCACCTGGACCTGGCTGCCAGAGCAAAGATCTCTCTGGAAACTGAGCATGAGAGATAAGGGCTTGTGGATAAATCACTCATTGAAAGACAGGAAACAAGGGCTAGCTTTCAGTGTGGAGATGGGTTGTCTGTGGTATCTGCTTTTCACCACGCTAGGAAAGCAGCACAGTGTACTGAGGATACGTGTTGTTTAGGGCAGCCAAAACGAAAGCAGCTGTGAAGAGGTGTAAAAGGATCTTCTAGTCCTGAGTAACGTGACAGTTAAGTCCATGTTACTGCATCATGGTAGGTGGACTAATGACAGCCTGACAGCTCTGAATTAGCTGCTACCCTGCGGGAGGTGGATTTTGGAGGGCAGGAGGGGTATCACAAACGGCTGCGTTTGTGCTGTTGTTAAACTCCTCTCGAGGCTGCTGGCAGACCTCGCTCTGAGCCAATGTGTGGTAACGCAGACACAGCTTGTGCCCAGGTGTCCCCTCTCAGCCGTGTTGGCTGGAGCAGAAGGCCAGATCTGAGGCTGCTGGGGTTAAGCAGTAAGGTTTGCCCTGCCATGCCTGAGGGCAAGCCAGGCAGGAGCCGTTAGCAATAAAGAATAGATGGGCTCGATGGGCAATCAATCTCAAACCTTCTGAATCAATTGGAGACTTCCCCATGCCAGCAGCACCTGTGGTGGGCACGGGATAGGCATACATTATCATGCAGTTCTCCTGCCAGGGAGTACCTAAGGAGAGCTGTTTGCTCTTGACGATCCTCATCTCAGTAGGATTTCCAAGGGAATGGCTTTCTGGAAACTCACTTTTTTTTTTTTTTTTTCCCAGGGGAAGCAGCCCAGTATTAACACCAATCCCTGCCAGTGCTGCCCCAAACAGTAGCTTGAGTTAAGAGCCCCTGTTTGGCAAAATGTGTGAATCTAAAATGACTCTGCAAGAATCAACGTAAGTTTTTCATCTAAGTGTGGAGTCTGCACATAGCAAAAGCAGAGAGCGAAGCAGGAAAGAAGAAAGGAAGGAGAGCCAGTGAGTCCAAACCCGACACCAGGGACCTTGACTCCACTGACCACAAAACTTAAGGGCCGATCTAATTCTCACTTTACTCGCAGGGAAAGTGAAACTGTCTCATGCACACATCTCTCATGGTCTTTCTTTCTCTTTTCCCAACACTCTCAGCAACTTCTATCACCAGACAGCCACCCTTGCTGTAAGTTTCTTTAAATTGAAAGTGACAGTCTTCCAGATTCTGGGAGATCCCTTTGTCAAGAGAAATGCCTGGGGATACAGTCCCTGTTTGATGAAATTGCGAGCTGCTGAATTAACAGAGGACTGACTAAAGATACGATTCTTTGTAATAGAAAACCTGTTTTACCATCAACTATTTTAAAGGTACCCTATAACAAAATACGTGTGGTTGTACATTCATGTTCCTGGATTCTATTTACTATCAAATAAGACTCTGAATTTATGAAAATTGTGATCCATGTATGTGTCTCACAGGGAACTTGGACCTTACCTGTATGTTTGCTACCCGCAACCTTTAAGCCCCTAATAGTATAGGCACCACTTGAACGAATGTCTCCAAATCAGTTTTGGTTTTGTACAAAAGAGTGCAGTAAGTCTGTACGTGGCTCTGAGTCACATGCAAAAATGCTACAAATAACAGCATGAATTTTAGTTCTTACCCTGAAAGCGGAAAACCGCCCGGCTCCCAGGACAACACATACAGCCCTTGCCAAGTCTCAGCTTTCACTTCTGCTCTCCCTCTCCCTGCCCACCTACACTGTCTAATACTCTCTGGTATGCCAGCCCTCACACCCCTCAAATCCCGCTTGGTGGGGCAACCCCCTGGGGTCCACTGCTGGGGGTCTGGGGAGTATGAGGGTGAGGTAACATCCAGGCAGCTGGTGGCACCTTGCAGGCACACGGACAGTCCCTTTTCTCTTCCAGCCCCTTCCCCTCAGGAGGGATGTTGACATCTCTCACCTGTACTGCTCGTTGGCTTTCAGCTTCCCGTTGCACGTTGCCCTGGACTGGCCACACTCCTCTGTTCCCACTGGCACTCGCCAGGTTTCGGGGGAGTTCTCAGGGCTCGGATGGAAGGGATTGGGGATTAGCACAGCCAGGTAGGAATCCTCTGTCCCGTAATAGTGGTCATACCATGTGCTGGACATGATTTCCTGGGTGGGCCTCAGCACTGAAGGGGAATTGTACAAGGTGACAGTGGTAGTCCCAAAGTGACATCCAAGGAATCTGCTGCCCTTCAGGGAGCCATTGAAGACTGGGATGTGCAGGGGCACTTACGTGAATCATTAGTGGTCGCAATGACACCGTAATACTTGATCTGGCCATTCTCCTCACTGAACAGGTCGGATGAAATTATAACTGTGGAGCTGGCCTCCACCTGGAAGATGTCTGCTCGCAGAGGTGGAGGCAGGGCTGGAGGAGGAACCACCAAGCACAGCCTGTTAGAGTGTCCCTGCTCCCACAGACCCACCACACATTGCTCAGCCTGCGAGTGGTCCCAGCATCACTGCCCAGAGCCCTGACCCACCACAGTTCAGTGCAGGACCACACCACAGGCATCTGAAAGAGTCCCCAGGTCTAATTAGCAACACTGGGTGTCTTCTCTTGGGGTCTGTGGCAAGGTTGTGGGAAAGAAGGGGACTCACCCTCCACTGTTGTGTTGCAGAGCAGAGTCACAGCCTGGCTCCTCATTGTGTTCATGCCCACTGTGCTCACAACAATTCGGTAGGACGAGTTTGGCCCCAGCCCCTCCAGACTGGCCTCGCTCGTAGGGATGCTCATAACAAACTTGGAGGTGGGAGGTCCACCAGAGAGTCTCTCTGTTACCACCTCATAAGCCTCCACATCTCCGTGAGAGCTGGTCCAATTCAAGTAAAGCCTCCTTGACTCCGGTAGGCATTGCACATCCTCCACTGGGTTTGGCTCTGTGAAGGAGATATGGCAGGCTTTGATCTTACTGGATCAGAGAAATCCCAAGCGCAACCCACATGTCTGCCCAGAGCCACTATGGTCCTCTACTGCCTGTCCATAGGTCAATGAGAGAGGAGTGGAGCTGGACACTTGCAACCTGGAGCCTTCTGTGACAAGGGCCACAGGACAAGAGAAATGGCTCAGGGCCTGAGCAGATGTCTTGTAAGAGAAGCAGACCAACGGAGGTCTCTGCAGAGTCTGCTTTGCTTCACAGGTAGCCAGGCCACAAGGTAATGGAAAATCTCTGTGATGGGGCTAGCTTAGGGAGCTGGTGGCTAGCAGTGGGTCACCTTGCTGGCTTTCCTTATCTCCCACCATGAAGATTTCCCATGCTGACACCCAAGGGCTGATCCAGTCTTGAGGCCACCCAGGTGTTTCTCCCCCTTCCAGCCTGCCCTCCCCTCACGCCCACGGCAGCGCATACCCACCCATTGGCACTACCAAGGGTTTGGTGCTACTCCAGTAGGGTCCGGCCACACAGCTCAAGGAGACAGAGTAGTTCCTCCCTGGGATCAGCCCCTGGAGGAGGTGCTGCACTTGCCCTCTGCCGAGGGTGTGCCGCCAGGGCAGTGTGCTGTTCCTGGGATCACGCAGCCACAGCTGGCAGTCATCCTGCTGTCCAGAGACACTGCCCCAGGAGATGAGCATGGAGTTGTTCCCTTCGGCCACCACAGAGAGATTTTGGGGAACTGAGGGCGCTACAATGAAAACCACACCAGGGGAGAGTTACTGGCATGCATGTGGTCTCTTCCACCCTATAGAGACACAAGTAGAAGATGGGTAATATGTAAGGAAACTTCGTATGTTCAGCGATAACATTTCTGCAGCTGCTGGCTGCCACTACCAGAAAAGACCTTTAAATGGCAATTGGAGGACATGCAGAGTGAGGGGCATGAGGAGATGGGTTCTTCCTCCTGCTAATTAGCAAGCTTCATTAGAGATCTGCCTGAAGGGCTCTGCACACGACTCTCAGCACCCTGCCAGCGGCTGGCTGAGCGTGGGAGCAGAGGCCTCTGGATTCCCCAGGCAAAGTACAGGGACTGTGGGGACAAGCACATGAAAAGGCTTATTGTGCTTATCTGCAATTTCCACATTCCTTAAAAAAAAAAAGCCCAGCCTCCTTTTATCCCCCATGCCAGGAATTTTCTGAGTGCCTGTGAGAAAGGCAGTGGGGATGGTGGGGTGTCCCTCTCTGGCTGTAAGGCCTCATGGTCTCCCAGGCTGTGGGTGTCCTCTACCAGAGCAGCACTACTGCCATGGGATCCCTTGCACTCGTTCAGTCACCCATGCCTGGAGGAGCCAGCTTGTGTGAACAGCAGGGCCACGAGCTGGAGGGTTGCCTCCTGAACCAGCAAGCATGGCTGCCAGACTGTCCTGTAGGCAGCAGTATTGCCCTGCTCCCCCTTCCACCGGGGGCTTGCACAGCCCCTGAGCCCACTGCTGCAGTGGTACCTACAGCTTCCAGGCAGCAGCCCTAGCTGTGGCCCCGTCCCTTCCCACCGCAGGTGCTGAGCCTACCCAGCGGGGGAAAGGCTGAGCCTCACACATGATGCAATGACCTCCAACCCTTGCCACTTACTTGTCCAGTCGCTGATGTTCCCTGCAGAGGCTGCGTAGGGCCCTGCCACAGACACCACTTCCAGCAAGTATTTGTGTCCTGGAGCCAGGCCAGAAAAGGTGAATTTGCTGGTGCCTTTCCCAACAGACACGTTGGCTGCCACAATACCTGATCCCGAATGATACAGGAGGAGCCTGTAACTGTCTTGTCCTTGGGGTTCAGCTCGCCAGGATGCACTCAGCCTGTTGGGATACCCCTGGTTCGTCATGTACACATTACGGGGTGCCAGGGGGTCTGGAGAGACCAGATGGGAGACGTGTCAGTGAAGGGTCTGAGGACACTGCCTGGGTATCTTGGCAGTGTCATCAGAAGGGATGCACCATAGGACAGGGCACTTTGTCTTGACTGGATGACTGCATCCACCAGCCTGGAGGCAGCTAAAAGCAGCTTCTGCAAGCTTTGAGTGGTGCCTGTCTGAGCAGAGGCACCCCTGTTCCAGCTGGAGTGAGATACACGGAGGTGGACGAGGAGGGAGCACCCAGCCAGCTAGAGGGGAGGGGAAGGTGAACACCCCTGTCCATTGCTCCCTCCTCCATGCCTCTCTGAAGCACAGCCCCTGGAGCTTAAGTTGGCCTAATCCAAGGCTGGTGGAGCGGCTGGTGGAGCTGTTGGTGAGGGTGGCCAGAGCTCTGCTCAGTGCCATGGCACTGACATGCCCTTGGGTTGGGGCAGGGCCCGGGGTCTGTCATGAAGGTCAGTGGGGCCATATACTTTGTCATGAGCTTTCATGACTGCCCAGCAAACCATGCATCACCCTCAAAACAGGGTACTCACACGTCCAGTTGCTGACATTCCCTGCAGGTGTCCAGTGGGACCCCGCCACGGACACCACCTCCAGCACATACTTGCTTCCTGGGGCCAGTCCCGTGAAGGTGAAGTTGTGGGTGTCTCTCCCAAGCGAGGTCATAGCGGCCACAGTGCCCAGCCGTGCGTGGTACAGGTTCAATGTGTAGCCATCTCGCCCCCCAGCCGCGGCTCCCCAGGATGCGCTCAGCCTGTCAGGGTGCCCCATGCTCAGCAAGCGCACAGTGGCTGGGGGCAGAGGGCCTGGGGAGTCACCAGACCTGATGTTAGGGCTGGAGACCATGCAGAAGGAAACAGACCTTGATAGGACATTGTGCAGCAGGACAGATGCTTCCTGAGGGCTGGGAATCATAGACACCCTCTGGGGGGCACCCCTCCTCCTCACTTTTCTCTTTTCTGTCCCCATCCCACCTCACTTTTAATGCTGCTCATCCTTTGTGGTCTTTCACATGCCAACCCTTCCTCCACGTCACCCCCATCCCCATAGTCCAGCTGGAGCACCTTTGCCACTGCTGCGTGGACACACGTCCCCCAGCACCCAGCTGGCATGCAGCTGCCTGGACAGAAGTGGCAAAGTGTCTATACTCTGTCCAGCCCTAAGATCTTTCTGGGTGGGCAGAAGTGCTGGACTAGTCCATGCTTGGAGCAAAGAATTAGTCTCCTGGGAGGACTGTGCATTAGCGTCTTGTACTACACTGATTCATTTAACAAACCTTTATAGTAATGTGGTTTCTATCTGCTGAGGACACTCAGTGAGGACATAAGTGCTCAGGTATATAGGAAGGTGCGACAGCACAGGCAGTGGGATGTCCCCATGTGGACACCGCTGGGCAACCCTGCATCTCATCAGCATGTGCTTGTGCAAGCCTATAGCTGAACATCCATGTGCCCATGAGGGTAACAATGCGTCCCTGCACTAACAGCTGCGTGTTGCACCCATGCACATGTGCGTGCACATCTCCAAAGGCACCAGCTCCCCTGTAAACCTCCCAGCCCTCCTCAGCACTGCCCAGTGGTGCGCCATCTCCCACCCCTTTGCAGAGGACACTCCTCCAGGCACTCACGAGTCCAGCCACTGATGTTGGGTGCTGCTGCCCGGTATGGTCCAGCCATGGCACTGGCTTCCAGGGAGTACTCGTACCCTGGGGTCAAGCCCATGAAGGTGAAGTTATGGGTGTCTCTCCTGAGTGAGGCTGTAGCTGCCACGGTGCCCAGCCACACCTGGTACAGGGTCAGTGTGTAGCCATCTCGCCCGCCGGTCGCAGCTCCCCAGGACGTGCTCAGCCTGTCGGGATGCCCCATGCTCAGCCAGTGCACAGCAGCTGGGGGCAGTGGGCCTGGGGAGGAAACACAAGTCACTGCCAGCAGCCACGTCTGGGCTGAGGGAAAGGAGATGCTCCATGTCTGTGCCAAGCCTATGCTGCAGGAGGTGGGTCAGCCCTGCAAGGTCCCGAGGGCTGGCTTTTCCCTCAGCTCTGTGGCTGCCACCTCCTCCCTGGTGCTGCCTGAGCCTGCCAGGCCATAGGGTCATACACAGACTCCCCACACTGCATCCAGCAGGGCATGAACACTGGGCGCTTGTGTGGGTGGGAGAGGAAGGCAGGATCTGGCTGCACAAGTATGGCCTCTGATTTGAACCGGGAAGTGGGAGATCTGGTGGAGGCCACCTGGCTGCAAGGAGAGCATCCTACTCACGTGTGCAGTGGGTGAGGTTGGGGGTGCTGGTGTGGAAGGGCCCAGCTGTGGCCCTCACTGCCACACTGTAGCGGGTGCCAGGGCTCAGGTTCCTGAAGATGTGACTCCTGGCATCCCCACCCAGCACCACGCGCCCAACACGACTGCTGGAGGCTGTGTCATAGACGTCCACCACGTAGCCTTCTGCTCCTTGCCCTGCTGCTGCCCAGGAGGCCTGCAGCATGGAGGCAGAGGGGCTGCTCAAGGTGAGGTTGGCAGGGGCCAAGGGATCTGGAAAGCAACAGGGAGACAGTAAGCCCCCGCGTGCCACCACTCACTGCTCAGTGCTATGAGCCGGCTGCTTTGCCCAGTGGTTCCTCAGGCTCTGGCAGCCCCCAGCTCCCACTGGGTGGTGGGCAGGCTGGCCAACAGAGGTCCTCCCAGAGAGACGCATGGGGACAAATTGGCAGCTAGTGCACATGACTCTCAGCATAATATCCCCAGGGACTGCAGCTGGACTTGGCAGGGGAGATACCCAGAGCCTTTGAGGTGGGTAGGGGAGATTGGCTTTGTGTCAGGGGAAGAGTTTTTGCAGAAAGGTGGGACAACAGCGGGCATGGTTTGGGATAGAGAGGGTGGCGGTGGGTGCTCTGCAAGGCTGGGGCAGAGGATCTGGGGCACAGTGTAGGGCTGTGTCCAACCCAACCCATCAGACTCACGTGTCCATTGGGTGACATTGGTGGAGGAGGCTTCGAGCAAGCCTTTCACAGCAGTGACCTGCGCAGCAAACCTGCTGCCTGCCTCCAAGTGAGTCCAGGTGATGTTCTGGGCATCTGGACTCAAGGTCTGGACCCGAACCCTGCTCTGGGTGCTGAGGCTATACAGAATAACGCGATAGCTGTCTCTCCTGCCCGGGGGCTTGTTCCAGCACATGTAAAGCTCTGAGGAGCTCCCTGGGTTGGTAAGGCTCAGGTTTGTCGGGGCAGCAGGAACTGCAAGGAAAGACAGACACGTGAGTCAGGCAGAAAAAGATCTGGTTCTGAACAGGTAGCCATCTCTGGGGAGGAGTCTTGCTATCCCCAGGCAGCCAGCAGCAACCGGCCAGCAAGTGCTCTGTGCCCACATGGTACAAGAAGGCTGCAAGAGGCAGGAGATGACTGCAGGCCAGCATCACTGGGAACCAGGCCAGGGTGCCCTCCTCTCCTCTCCTTGGGTGCCAACATTGATCCCCATCCCACTGTGGAACTCCTCACAGGTCTCCCACCCCAACCACCCGTGGGTGGTACGGATGCTCACCTGTGCAGCCAGTGACGTTCTTGGGGAGGGAGCGGTAGGGTCCAGCTACTGCCCAGATCCCAACAAGGTAGCAAGTTCCTGGTTCCAGTCGTGCCAGGGTGACATTGGTGCTGTCCTTCCCTGCTTCCAGGTTCCTTGCTGGTGCAGGACAGCCCTCCTCATGCACGCTGAGCAGGTATCCATCCCTCTGCCCAGGTGGGGTCTCCCAGTGCACA